ACACTACGACCGTCATAAATAAGAACCACTCGCCAAGCGTCTGAATTATGGTCACATGACCCTGGGGATGTGGCAAAGGTCATAAGTGTGAAAAACACATTCATAAGTACTTTTCTCAGTGCTGCTGTATCTCCAGCCACTAAACGAATGGTTGTAACTCAAGGACTACCTGTATTATCCCAATAGCTTACCTAATAATTATGAAACTTCCTGGATCGATTTCATAAATCATGATCATGTTAATTATGGATTAGGTCAACAATTACAGTCGTTTAAGAATAGATCACCAATCTACTTAAAGCTGCTTTCAAGTGGGAAAACTGGGAGAATATTTTTAAATTCTGTTATTCTGACCCATTAGATTATCACTTCAGAGATATTTCCTTACCAGATTCCTCAAAGCCTCCAACAATGGCAGAGCTTACTGGAAAAGTTCTTAAAAATTCAAAGAGATATTCAGAGATGCATCTGCCTTAAAAGCAGGCCATGTTGGGCTGTAGAGCTTGGTCAGATACGAGGGCTTGTTTTACAGAAAATGTTTTATAGCTAGTAATGTCATAATACTTGATAATTTGGTTGTCGTATTTTATAAAATTTGCCAAATTTTCATTCTAGGGGAATCCTGGATTTTAGATGCATTCTGTAAATGGGTCCGTTTGAGGTACTGTGGTTGAAAAAACGTTGCCCCATTTCAGCCAGTTAAAAGTTACAGATAGTTGTTTTAGAATGATATAGATGTGGCTTAAGGAGGAATCCTATTAATGGAATATGAACACGCAGAAAATTCTCAAATTCTTAAGACATGCCAATCCCTCCATGCCTTACCAGCTGCTGCATCTAATACGAGATAGTTTACTACATCTTCTCATGCGTTCAGTTGCTTCTCTCCTTTTTTGCACCATAATATCTGGAGCAGAATTCTTAATGGTGTTTTTGCACTGTAGGCTGGGATCAAGGCAGCCATTATAATTCCCTGCTAATAATATTTGCTCTTAAAATTTTAGCGCAACTATCCTCGAGGCTTCTTTCTTCAAAACAACAAGACAAACAGCTGTCCTAAGGTAACCAGACACTTGGCAGTCTCCAAGGTTAAGCCCAAATATCATTCGTTTGCAAACAAAAGACCACAGGGCCCCGATTTCCTTGGATAGTGTGTTTATTGCTCCTTATAACTCTTGGCAAAGTGTCTTCAGCAGTTTTCCAAATAAATCTCCCCTCCCTCTATCAATTAGATTCCGGAAAGGCAAAACAATTCCTTTAGTGTCAAACCCATTTTATACTCCCCGTAATCTAAATTACGCAGGGAATTTACCCGATTGGCTCAACTCACTCACTCAGACTAACCATATTTGCCTTATCAACGAGCGCATTAAGAGATATTGATGTTGATAGTGCACACATGCACACACAATTACAGCTTTAAGGGTTTTTGCTAAGCGTCCAGCGCTATAGAGATCTAACAGGGAAGAGCTGAAACACGCTCTATTAAAATAACACAATTTTAGGTCACCAAACCACAACAGAATTAGCTTCCCTACTTACAAGTCACCCCACTCAATAAAACAAGGGAGAAGATTGGCTTAAAATGCCAACCCAACTCTACTGGTAAATTCATCAGGGCAAGAGGGAGAATTTCTACAGCAAAGAGTACATATAAAAACCGTTCTCTAGAGTAGGGGTCCCCAACCCCCGGTGGACCGGCAGTGGTCCACGGCATGCCAGAAACCGGGCCACACATACAAGACATGCCCCATCCTTGGGATGCAGGCACCACGCAAAACCACACACCCCTCTGGCCCAAGGAAAAACCTCTCTCCACGAAACCCGGCCCCTGGTGCCCCAAAGGTTGGGGGGGCACTCACTGCCCTAGAGTGCAAAGGAAACCACCTCGTGCAAAATATCGTGTTTTTGGTTGGATTGCACAAACTGATGCTGCCCCTCAAATACCCCAGCAGAATAAGCTTTTAATATTTTATTGAAAATCATTTTGAGCAGTAAACACTGCTGCCTGCTTAGGCGAAGGAAGGAAACAATTCAACAACAAAAATGGTATCTGACAACAGCATGTACAATCCACAGCCCCAAATTATAAGGGAGGGTCAAAACCGATTCAGCAAATTTGAAGAATTTTCTTGAAGGCCTATAAAAGTAAACCAGGTCAAACCTGCGATGGAAATTCATTCCCTATCGGTGATGCCTCTCTTGTAAGGGGCCGAGCCAGGATCCCCCTCCTCTCTCACTGACATCTTAATTACTGTTTTATCTACCTATCATACCTTAGATTTCAAAACTATATTAACCGAAGATCACAGAGACAGCCTTTCCATATTATTTTGGTTCCAACTCTTGTATATTCCTATTTAGGAATGCATGACTTCTTATGACCGAAAATGGAAGAGCGAGTTTAGCTATGACACATTCTATGTATTTAAAAAAAAAAAAAAACTACACACGCATAAAACTAAGACTGGATGTTCCTTGTGTTACAATGAGGAGAGCAGTGCATTGGGGTGGGAGTCAGGAGAGGGGGTGTTCTCTTTTCAAGAGATTGTGTGTGTTTTTTCTTAAAGCCACCAACCAATGTGTTTTCTTTTTTTTTTTTTCATCCATTGTAAGCACATATTCATTCCCCAACAATTCACTCTGCTTATTAGGATTTTTTTTTACAGATTAATGAATATTTTAATACAGCCGTCTAAATCCTGGGGTTTGTTTTTTTTCCTCGCTGGCAATGCCATTGTTTAAGAAAACAGTGGATAACGAGATCAATAACAACAGCGAATAAAATGCCATTTTTATGCTCGTACTGTACTTTAAAAGAACTGCACCTAAACAGGATAATCTTTTTTTAATCATCAAAAGCTTGAACATGCCATTGAGACGCCGAAATCAATGAGGCTTCTACGCAGAGGCAGTCACGATTTTTCTGCACTCATGTTTGTTTACTTGCCTACTTCTCATTTTACTCCAACGCTAAACGGATTAAAGTTTTGCAGGGTTTTTTTTTTTTCTTTTTGGGGCCTGGCCTAAATCCTTACGTGCAGTCAAAGATTAAACTTGTAGAGAAAAACACGGGGAGAAAGAAGGGGGGGGCGGGGGGGAGCCGTTGGGAAGAAGAGGTGGAACAACTCTATTTTAGAAATGTGATCTATGACTCACATTTTGACCTTGTCATCCCAAAACAGCCACCGAGGCTCTAGTCCCTAAGGTCAAACACTTACCCCAACTGGGCTTAGACCTCCCCAAAAGTCCTAAGAACCTTTTGATGAGGACCCGGCTTGTGGGGGCAATAAGCTGACTTTGTATAAAATAGAACACCGCTTAGGGGAGGCCAAAAAAAGCCCTACTAAGCAGGTATATACAAAAAGTATGAAGGCTATTGTTTAACGCATTGTAAGCCGCCCTGAGTCTCCAGAGAAGGGCGGCATATAAATCGAACCAATAAAATAAATAAATAAATAAATAAATAAATAAGGTGCCCAAGACCCTTTGCCCACACAAAAACCCAAGGAGCTACACTTACACACTGATGTTATTGAACCTAAGAGGTAGATTGTCTTCCTTCCTAACAGGGCCAAGGGGAAGGGCATCCCAACCCCACCACTAGCAACTATCCGGAGGGTGTCACTTTCTCCACCCATTTGACTGATTCACAAACCACCAAAGAAAGTTGTCTTCTCTCTCAACCCCCCCTCTCCTTTTACACGGAGGTCATGCAGGATTTTTCTCTCTCTCTCTCTCTCCCACACCTTCTGCTCAACCATGAAGCCACCAGCTGTCTAAGGGTAGAGCTTCAGGAATTGCACCAAACCGGGCCCTGCCCAAGTCTCTCTCTCTCTTCCCCCTCCACAGCCCTCTCTTTTGTCTTTCTACACCCCCCCCCTCAAAAAAATCAAAACATTTTAGGGGGGGTGGAGGAGAGGAGGACAAAGAGGCATCCACCGCCTTTCCTACTCTCACCAGCCCCGGAGCTTGGACGATGAGTATTCACTGAGTAACATTTTAATTGCAACTTCTACCTCTGCGTATAAACAAACCAGTTCTATCAAAACAGACTTCCTTGCTCCCGCCTTGGATTCGTTGCACCGAGGGAAGCAAAGGGGGGGGGGGGGTGGGGGGGGGTACAATTCCTCTCCCCCTCCCCCCAAAAACCACCCACGGCCCCTTGGGGTTTACACATCGCCCTCCTACCCCCCCCCCCCCAAAAATAAGAATCTTTGTCCGCAAAAGAGGCTTTCCCGCCTGGGCTGGTTGGAAGCGCGCGCCCCGCCACCCAAACGCTTGCCTGGCATTTCTGCCCTTTTCGACACAAAAGAGACCCCCACCCTAAAAAAAAATATAACGCAAGGCTGAGGAGATTTGGGGGGGGGTTGTTTGAGAAAGCCCAGCCCGGCTTGGCTGCTCCGGGTCTCCAAGGGTCGCCCGCCCCACCGCCGCTGGGTGCAGCGCTCCAGGTGCCGGCGCGCTCGGCTTGTTTACGCAACGGCCGGGCTCGCCGGGCGTCTCCAAGCCGCCCCCGGGAAAGCGGGGAAAGCCGAGCCGGTTGCTTTGCTCGCGCGGGAGGCCGGCTGGGTCAAAAGCGGAGGCCCTCGCGGGGCTGCTGGAAGGGGCGGCGGGGGCCAGACAACCCCCCCCGCTCCACCCTCCGAGCCAGGCTGGGAAGGAAAGCTTTCCCAGGGGGGGTCGTGGGAAAGGAAAGCCCCCCCAAAAAGCTTGGAATGCAAAGCCTAAAGGGGGGGCAGCCAAGGCCGCTCTTCCCGGCTGAGGGGGGGGCAAAGGGGCCAGGGGTCCAAGGCGCGTTTGGGGAACCCGTTTCCAACGAGGGAGACCCCGCCTTGGTGCCCATCTCCGCGGCCTCGGCTGGAAGGCGCCCCCTTTGCATTGCCTCCCCCCACCCCCACCCCATTTAACTCAAAAATCCGGACGGCCCATCTCTTCTTCCCCCCCCCCCCCAACCAAGCCCCCCCCCCCCACCCCCACCCCCCGTGGCCCAGACTCACTTTTTCCATTTGCTGGCCGCAGGCAAAGCGCGATGCAGAGCAGCAGCAGCAGCAGGAGCCCCCTCACCAAGGCCAGGGACCCCCGTCCGACGCCAGACTTCATTCCTCTGTTTGGTGGGTCCGTAAATCGGGGTCAAAAACGGGCCTCGGCAAAACCAATTTTTTTTTAAAAAAAAATAATAATAATACAACTCACCCCCCCCCCCCTCCCCAAAACAATCCCCCGCAATCCGGAGTCCTCCTCTTCGCTCTTCTTCGCCCCTTTCCCGGGACAAGGCAAATCCAAATCCTGGAAGGGAGGGGAGGGGAGGGGGGGGGGGTTTAAAACCCCCCCCCCTTCCCCAAAAAAAAAAAAAAAACCCAGAAAAAAACAAGCCCACCCGCCGAGGGAGGAGGGAGGGGGGCCTTGAAAAAGGGGGAGGGGAGCGTCCGGAGAGGCGGCTGCGTTTGGAGAGGGGCAGAAATGCTGGGCCCACCTTTGGGGGGGGGAGGGGGCGGGGGGGAAGGTCCGGGCCTGGTTTGGGGCTCTGGCCGAGGAGGCTCCGGGGCCGCCGCCGCCTCTTCCTCTTCCTCCTCCAGCTACGACGGGAGGCCGGGGAAAGCCGCTCAGCCTCGCCTGCTCTCATCCAAGAGGAGCGCGCACGGGAGGCGCCGCAGCGAGCAATCCGCATCTTCGACCTCCATGTTGGCTTGGCTTCCCGGCCCCGCGCGGGCTAAAAAGGGAAGGGGGCGCCCCAGAGAAGGCCGGCCGGGCTGGCCGGGGAGGGAAGGGGCGCCTGCTTGCTTGCCTTCCTTCCCGCTCGGCCGGCCGAGAAACCCCCGGAGCGGACTCGGCTCCCGCCTGGCCCGAAGGAGGAGGAGGAGGAGAAGCAGCCACGCAATCCGCCTCTTCCACCGCCGCCGCCTTTGCTGGAGCCCGGGCTTTCCGAGGGCGGCAACGGCGCTTCCCCCTCCCCGAAACAGAAGCAGCAGCGGAAGATCGAAGCAGAGCCGCCGGGGTCTCTTTCGGGCCGGGAGGAGCGAAGCGAGGCTGCCTGCCTGCCTGCGAAGGGCGATCGCGCAATTGCGCCGCCGCGGCTGCTGCTGCTGCTGCTGCTGGCCTCCTTGGCGCTTTCTTCGGCGGGCGAGAGGCAAAATCCGGAGCCGCGATGAATGGAGGGACGGAGGGAGGCGGGCAAGGCTTCCCCCGCGCCGCCCCGTCTCCGCCTCCTCCGCCCCTTTTCCCAGGCTCGGCTGCGAAGGCCGCCCCCGAGGGAGCCTCACCGGCCGCCGCGGCCCCGGCTGCCACTCGGCGGGCGCCGCGCTGCTGCCATCCGCGGGGCGGAAACGACACCGGGGGGAGCCGCGCGAGGGCAGGGCAGGGCAGGGCTCGGCGGCGGCTGCTCTCTCTCCGCCTTCCTTCTTTTCCTCCTTTTCCTCCTTCCTTTTCCTCCCTTTCCTTCCCTCCTTCCTTCTTCCCTTTTCCTCCTTCCTCCTCTCCTTCTTCTCCTTCCTTCTTTCTTTCCCTTTTCCTCCTTCCTTTCCTCCTTCCTTCTCTCCTTCCTTCTTTTCCTACTTCCTTCTTTTCTCCCTTTCCTCCTTCCTTCCTTCCCTTTTCCTCCTTCCTTCCCTCCTTCCTTTTCTCCCTTCCTTTTCCTCCTTCTTTCTTTCCTCCCTTTCCTCCTTCCTTCCCTCTTCCTTTCCTCCTTCCTTTCCTCCTTCCTTCTCTCCTTCCTTCCCTCCTTCCTTCTTTCCTTCCCTTTTCCTCCTTCCTTCCTTCCCTCCTTCCTTCTTTTCCTCCTTCCTCCCTTCCTATCCTCCTTCCTCCTTTCCTTCTTTTCCTCCTTCCTTCTTTCCCTCCTTCCTTCCTTTCCTTTTTCCTCCTTTCCTTCTTTTCCTCCTTCCTCCCTTCCTTCCTCCCTCCCTTCCTTCCTTCCTTCCTTCCTTCCCAGAGGCGGCGGAGGATTCCCGCTTAGCGCTCAGCCCCGGACCCTCCGGCCAGGGGAGGAGCGCGGCCCGGTTCTGGCTCCCGCTGCTGCTGCTGCAGAAGCTCCCCGCGTGGCGGCTGCAGCGGGAACAAAGCGCCGCGCGACCCTCCCTGCACCGCTCGGCGGCTTCCCCGCGCTCGGCGAGGCTGGGCTGGGCAGCGGAGGGAGGGCGGCAGAAGCAGCGGTGGCGGCGGCTTCCTCGGCGCCTCCTCCTCCTCCTCTTCCCCCGGCTTGCAGGCTGGCCTGGGCGCAGAGCTCGCCGCCGCCTCCTGCTGCTGCTTGGCCGGAGCCTGGCCGCCCCTTCCTTTCTGCCACGGCCGGGCGGGGGTCTCGCCTGGGCGGGGGCTGGGGGGGGGGCCGGCTTCTGCTGGGGCGGGGGCTGGCGGAGCTGTCAATGGGTGGGGGGGGGGCGCCAGGCAGGCGGGGGGGGGGGCGCAGGGCGGAGGCGGCTCGTTGCAGCAGCACAAAATAGCGACAGCAAAATCGAGAGGGGGGGGGGGAGGGTAGAGGCGCCCCCCCCCCGGGGTCGGGGGGTCCCCCCCCCCTTCCCCCCCCCCCCCCCGCGAGCCCGTCCAAAGAGCAGCAGCCGGGGAAGGTCGGGCGGGCGGGCGCTTTGGGAACGGAGCCTCCGGGGCGCGGGAGCCGAGCGCGCCTCCCCGGCGGCTCCTTTTGGGCAAACGGCGCGAGTCCGGGCACGCCGGCTGGGCAAAGCCGGAGCCGCGCAACCCGCTCGGCCGGAATGCGGAGGCTCCGAGACCGGTTTGGCCCGTTGGGTGGGGGTGGGGGGGGAGAGGGACGGACGGGAGAGGCAGCCCCACCGACGCCTTGCAGCCAGCCAGGCTTCACGGGTCGTGTGAACTCAGTGCCGCCTTGGTTTGGCAGAAGGGGGGGCGGTTTCCAGGCCGGTAACTGCTACTTTCCTACCTGGCCTGATGTGGTTGAACCCTGAATCTATTCCTGGGGTTCCCTGAAAGGTGGGAACCAAGGTTAAATAAAACTCCACCCCGTTGACAGGTGTGAATGCAACCTGTTGAACTTGTCCATAGCAATACATTGACCCGGTTTGCATGTGGTGCTATTCATAGTTTATCTCAGGGGTCTGCAACCTTAAAACACTCAAAGAGCCATTTCCGGGAGCCACAAAACCCATCCCATGCCTGATTATTTCTTGAGCGGCCACAAAACTAGCATATGTAGTTAAATTAAATGTTCTGTTTTCTTCTGAAATTTTTCTTTTTTTGGATTTATCCATGGTTGGCCTACCAGGGGTTGAAAAACGCAATAAATCACATGCCAGCGGGTGTTGCACATTGGCAGTTGTGACGCATATTTTGAGTAATAGGGAGCCGCAGCAGAGGGGTGAAAGAGCCACATGCGGCTCCAGAGCCACAGGTTGCTGACTCCTGAACTAGACATACCCAATTCCTGCAACTGTTCTTTATATGTTTTTCATAGGAGCCCTCCGGAGGTCCCTTTTTGCTGGCGGAGGATTGCAGGAGGCCGTTGCAGTTGAAAAGAAGAGCTTGGAAGCCCTTTTCTCTGGCAGAGCGCTCAGGCCACCACAGGGGCCCCCCGACACGAGCGTTGAGCTGGCCACACCCACCCTAGCCATGTTCACCCTGACCCCCCGAGGTCAAACCCAACTCTGATGCGGCCCTCAATGAAATAGAGTTTGACACCCCTGGCATAAACCAATATATACATATATACAGTCTTTTTATATGTCAACAGGGCTACCTTAATTAGGATGATCTATCCGTAGTTGGCCTACTGGGAGTTGAAAAGCTCAATAAATCACATGCCAGCGGGTGTCGCACATTGGAGGGTGTGATGCATATTTTGAGTGCCAGGGAGCCGCAGCAGAGGGGTGAAAGCCACATGCGGCTCCAGAGTCACAGGTTGCTGACCCCTGCTTTATTCAAATCTCAAGCCACAAGTTATGTTTTGTTTTCAGGTGTTGTTACCCTTTTATTCCCTCACTGCCCCCATACCATCTAAAACCGAGAGATTTAAATCCAGAGGCCAATAAATCTTGCCTGGAGCTTTAGGGGAAGAAAACAGGAATGGGTGAAAGTCTAACAAGTTCCTAGTTATCAGCAATATTCAGAGTCTTGATAAACATAAGATTTTCCCAACCTGACATAACAGCTACAACATAACTCGAGAGTAGGATTATTGTAGCTGAACAGCACAATCCTTTATTAGCCCTTGAAACAAGTCATATAAATTGGCTGCTATATTAAAAAATTAACCTGTGAAGTGACCTATGAATTGACCAGAAAACTAAATTCTTACCAAAAAAAATTCTTATAAAATTCTAACAAAATATTTTTGTTAGAATTTTGCATTCAAAAAAGACTACATCTCAGAAACGAGGAATGCCTTTCCTGATGTAATGGCTGACACGAAACAAATGTTATTCTTTTAAATGCCTATGTAGAATTAATGCAGAGCAAATAAGCTTTAATCAATTTTGCCTAATACGATTATTCAACTGATTTCTTACAAAGATGTGCAGCTGGAGGAATCAGTAACATCTGCATATTAAAGGAAATTGAGCAGACTAATGCAATCAAAAAAAAAAAACCCACCAGTTTCTGGTTGTAAGTTTCTTCTGTGCAGCCTTGAAATGCACACATCAATTAAAATCAATTGCTAATTGGATTGAAAGACAAATGGGGAATAAAGCATAGAATAGGCCTGGGATATACAACATTCTAGAGAGGTGTGTTTGGCTTTTGATTGGCGTGAAATCTACCTGAGTGTGGTTTATTCAGTTAACTTATTTATTTAGCTTATTTATACCCTATGACTATCATTAAGTGTTGTACCTTATGATTCTTAACGAATGTATTTCTTCTTTTTATGTACACTGAGAGCATATGCACCAAAGACAAATTTCTTTTTTTATATATAATATATTATTATTTAATCATTTTCTTCACTTTATATCACAATTCCCATCTTTACAACACTCCTGTGCCGGTATACGTTCATATTATATATGCTATTATAACTACAATATTATATAGCATATAACTACAATAACTACAAAAAGACAAATTTCTTGTGAGTCCAATCACACTTGGGCAATAAAGAATTATATTAACCATGGTTAAATAAAACATGGCTTACCTATCCATAACCCTTTGTGGCCTTTTGTTCATTCCTTGGACGCATGTGAAAATTCAAATTGAAATGTTCCACTGGTTTGCTGTGAAGGAAAGGTATAACACAAAGGGCAAGACAAATGTACAACTTCCACGAGAAATTCAAAACAACACACCTGGTACCTTCCAAGCTGTAAAAAAAAAAACATACTAAAAAGTACTATTGTAATGTTAATATCCCTGGATAACCTTTCAACTTTAACTT